TTTGTGCAGTGCAATTATACAGAAGCAATTATTTTCCTAAAAGCTTATAATTTAAACAGGAGAAGAAAAGAGTATGAAAAATACATATAACATGTAAAGCAAAGACTTGTACCTGTATAATTAATGCTACGTATATTTCACTTTTTGCTTGCTTTGTTTTGTTAGTAGCCTTCAGTAGTTGCTTTCCATTTTACTCCTTTTATGCATTCTTGACACTGGTATGGGAGAAGGGGAAAAACAAGCAGATGCCTAGAAAGCAAAGCAAGGGAAAAAGAAAGAAAACAAACCAAAGTACAAGTTGGTCATTGGAAGAGAGGAAGCCAAGAGGTATGAGTATAGGGTATGTAACTGGTGATCAAGAAAGGATGCTTTGTATTACAGACAGCAGAAAATATGATCCTGCTGGTTTAGTAATTGTTAATCAAGGAAGATAGTGGAGGAGTTGTCTGAAAACATCTTACATTAATGTTAGAAGCAATTAGTTTCTGCTTGTAAGCAACTGTTCCTGCTCCTGTTCAGAATATTTTGGAAGGGCTAGTCAGCAGCTTCCATTCTTCCACCAGCGAAACATGTCCACTGTAGGATTCCAGTACTAAGAAGTACTTTTGTCTAGGGACAAAGATACTATCTCTGTCAGTGCAGAGCCAAAGTGAGCGGGTGAGTGCTTTGAGCAGCTTGGGGCACTGCTTTTCTCCAGGCTAAGAGCTTTGTGCTTGTTCGGGAGGAGGAAGGTAGGTAGCTCAGGACATCTTAATGTTATAGCACTTATGTGGAGTTGGGTACAAATCTGAGGGAAGCAAAAAAAGGTACTCAAAAGTATACTCTTATTTATTACATATCGCAGTGTGGTCTCAGAAGAGTGAAAGAATACAGCTTGCAAGGGGGTAAAAAGTCAAGCATAAAGCAAAAGAAATACAGTTGGTAGGTGCTGTAGCATTTTAAATGAATCAGAGCCTTTTTGCTGCTGCTGTGATAGCTGTCCCCCAGCTGTTCACACTTCCAGGTTGGCTGTTACTTCATTTTGGTAGACACAGAATGATGAGCTGTAGCAAGGAAGAAATGGGCTGCTAATAGCATGGAGAGGTAGAGACAATGTATCTAGCTTTAATACTATTGATAATTTAGTTCATGGGATGGAGTGTCTCTTCTAAATGGCACTTTTCAGTCTCTCCAGCCTATCCTAAGTGAGATATATGTGCCTTGTGGCCAGAGATGGATTGTGGAGATAGGACCTATGAATCAATCTTTGCTGTGTGGTCTCTTTTTTCCTTTCTTTTTTTTTTCTTCTTTTTTTTTTTTTTAAATTTAAACCAAGAGTTGATTAGATGCCTGGCAATGATTACTATCCATTGGCACTTCCTATTGGGAGCACACTCCAAGTACCAGCCTTAAACTCTTTCAAGCAGGGGAGGTTAAGCAGGCTGCTTACTGAGCAAAAGGAATTTCTCTTCCCAGGAGAGCTGGAGTGCTGTTTCCCTGGCTAAGAATGCTATAATTCCTTCACAAGTGACAAGCAGGCTGCTACCATCTGCTGGCGAATGGCTGCAGGATGGTGGAGTTTGGGTGAAAATTTGCTCATGGATCAAGAGAGCAATTAGTCGTCATTATGCTGAATTTACACATTTCCTTGTAAGAAGCTCTGTGATTTTATTTTGGTGTTAGAATGTTTCCTAGTTGTAGTGTACGTATTTTTTGTTTTGAAGCATAAATACGTGAGATGAGAGTTCTAACCAAAGCCACAGAAAGTACCAGCAGGAACGGGGCATCTTTTTACCTTTTAAGGCACAGCAGCAATGTCTTGGAAAAGAAGAATGAGATCATCCATAAAATTTTTAAGCACCTTTTTTTGTCTTCATGGGAGCACCTGGTTGTGTTTGGAAACCATGTGGCACTACATGATGATAGTCTCTTTCAAAGATAAGGTGATAGACTCTGAAGTTGTTTCAGAACCACACAGCTTTGTAGGGCATCTGCTTTGTTCAGTCACTCAGGTATGCCAAGAAGGAAGAACTCGAAAAAAAGAGTAGTTATTGTTTATGTGGTTCCCTCAGCTTCCCCTGAAAGAAGCAGATGGTCGGGGGTCCCGGGAGGTAGAAGAAATGGGGCCATTAGACTGTCAGTGGCTTGTGAAAAGCAGAAGCATCTGCCAGAATGGAGACCTGTTCAGCAGCAGGGGAGCTAGCAGCAGCAGATGATCTTTGCCTTGAGCTGTCAGTGGCATAGTCATCCACTGGGGAATTGCTGTTGTGGGCGCAGCACAGGTAACCTTGGTAAAATCTCTGTTAGTCTGCCAGACTTTAAAAAAGGGGCAGTGAAGGCTTTATGCACATGCATAGGCATCTTAACTATTCACTTCTACTGTCTAATCACTCCTAAAATCACAAATTATTTTAAAGCATTCCTTCCCCATTCTCAGCTGAAAATTTGTCAAAATGCCTGTCATGTTTCAGAATAGCAACATGAACCATGCTAGATGCAGCAAAGAGTAAGTTCAAAAAATAAATTACCTTTTGGAAAAGTATCAAAAATTTTGCTAGGGGTCTTGTTTTCTGTTGTATCACACAGCATACTCTTTTAAGACGTGCCTTTTTAGTGTTAAGAAATATTTTATACAGCTGCAGTTCAATCTCTGCTGCTGTAGTTCTTATGCTCTTATTGAATGCTCTGCACAGGACGCAGTGTTCCAGGGGAGAATGACCTTCTGTTGCAACAGTGTGATGGTACGTAAAAGATGAGATAAAGTGAGGAGGGCAGAATGCCTCTGAGGAACAAGACTAGAAATTCATATCTGCATTCAAAAAGAATAGTCAATTTAGGTTCTCTCCTGTTAGAATAATTAATCCCAGTCAGCCACATCTAAAAGCAAGAATAAAGTACACAGGTACAGAGCTCTGTTTCAGAACTCCTCAAGCTGCACTTTGTGAGTACTTGGCATAGGTGAATCTGGGACTGTTGCCAGTACCTAATACCTTTCTAGAGTTGACTTCAGAGCCAGGAAAAGACATTTTCTGTGGATGAAGTTTGGTTTTACTCCCATGGGAGAGTGAATTACATTGCAGTTTGGCTAGTGGTCCATATATTTTGGTGTGCATTTCAATATTGGTTTAGCTTCTTTTTTTAATCTTTGGAAACTTGCATTGATATTCTGACAGGCAATAATAAGCTGCTTGTGTGTCTCTTTCTAGGCCTCAGGGACACTTCCCTTGCATCATAAATATTGCAGCAGTTTGTCATGCTTAGAATATAGTCACGATTTAGTAGAAAGCACTGAAGATCAGGTTCAGGATGCTTTGGCATACCCATAAAGAGAAGGTGTTACTCAAAACTGCCGTTGTAGATGTCACAAGAACTGACGTCTCACAAGCTTTTCTGTTAGTTGCATCTGCTTTGATTTGAAGAGGGTCCCCTGGTTTATGGCTGAAGCTAGTTTTGCTTTCATCTTCATTCAGGCATTTAAATGCGAACTATAGTCATCTCTGCATACCACAGAATAGTAGGAAGAACAATAACTGTCAGCTATTCCGGAGGGTTTGAAAATACTGTAATTAACCCCCTGTTTACTATGCAGAGTGAGCAACTTTGCTGTAGCTGTTCGCTTTGGCCACGTCTGTTCTGCAGATCTCCACGGCAGCATGTGCTGATCAGGGATTGAACACGTGTGGTCCAGGGGATGTGGCCTGTCCCCAGTGGTGGGACGGCGTGCTCATGTCCGGTGCCAGGTGCGCGGCTGGCTTGAGCACAGCTGTTTGTGTGCGGTACAGGTGCAGCTCGCTGGTAGCAGCAGCAGAGCGGTGTAGTTTGACACTGGCTTTTCCAGTAGCAGCAGTGATTTTAGATCATGTCATCATCCCTCTGTGCAGGCAGGGACCAAAGGCAGCTTCTCACAGCCTGAATTCAAGTGAATTGTACCAATTATGCAGGGCTTTATTATGGTCTTGGTTGTATTTAGCGGAATTAACAAAGTTCCTGTCTTTAAATTTAAAGTATGATTCAAAAATTATGGTAGTTCCTCTCTTTGTTTTCTGTCAGTAGTTAATTAGCTTTTTAATTTTTAAACAGTAGCAGTCTCTTAGCATTTAGTGAATTCTACCAGGTACAGCTACATCTTTTTTTAAGGGAGAAATGACAACCTGTCAGAAATCAGCTTTCATCAGAATCAGATTAGTTAACAAAAATCACTTAGTGTATACATTCAAGAAACAAAATGGCTGTCTGAATGAGAAGTGCTCTAGAATTACTTCCTTAGGTCATTTCTTAAGTCATTCGGGAGGAAGTAAATGGGTGAGACTTTTTTCTGCTTTCACAATTATCTGATATTATGGTCTACTTGAGCAAATAGGATTTAACTAATGAAAACTGAACATGGTCATCAGATGAATGTGAGCTATTTTGAAAATAATTGTATGAGCATCCTTGTTGCACTGCAAGTGTGGTTTTTTGGACATGTGCCATTTCTGTGATGATGAGGTGTTTTCCCATGATGGCATATTCTCCTGCTCCAAATACACCCTTTTTGATCACCTGTAAAAAAACATTGAACTTTACCATGATCTTCTTCAACTGTTAGTGATGAGAATGATGTAACCGAATTACTTTTATGGTGGTGTCTTCTAAATCATTACTTGTCATGCTAGTTCTCCTTTTAAAGCTGCTGTAGGCTCAAGAACACTCTTTTTCCTCCTATTTTAATAGTGATGTCGTTGTCATGTACTAAAACATGGGCCAGTGAAACAGATTTGAGAAGTATTTCAAATTCTTTCTGGATGGCTGAACATTTGTATCTCTTGCCTGCTTAGTGTAACTGAAAAGTGTTAGTTTGAAAGAGCTTATGTTGTTACTTGTTTGAAAGGCCTTTATTTGTATGGTGTAGAAAGATAGAGTGTAACATGATTTGTCAAAAAAATTGTGCTGAAATGTGCTTGATAAAATTCCCAGGAAAATACAGGTATTCAGAAAAATGGCTGCAATCTTCATTACTTTTTTTTTGGTTTCCCTTTCAGAAATGTTCCCATTGCCAGGAACCGGGAGCCACCTTAGGCTGCTACAACAAAGGCTGCTCCTTCCGATACCATTACCCATGTGCCATCGATGCAGGTAGGAACAAATGACATCCTAACTGTATTCCATGATTACTCAAAGAATGCAACACTAAATAATTCTGAGATACTTTACAAATTACTCCCTCTCAGTTTTTCTCCTGCTTGGAAGATAAAGTAATAAAAATGGTGAGAAACAGCATGTGATAAACAGCGTACAGTAACGTGTTGGGACAAGCTGGAGCTTGTAATGAAAACTAATCTACCTGAAGGAGCAGAAAAAGCCTGGTTTGGGGGAGTGCAGTTGCAGTGACTGAAATTCGGCTGCACTGTGAGAACTGATCACTCTTTTCTTGCCAAAAATAGAAACCCTTTGTTAAAAGGATGTAAGTAAGCAGCAAGGGGTTTCTTCTTTCAGGGTTATACACCTATGGGTAGTCCTAGAAAAGATTTCAAGTGTTTATGTTTGTAGAGTCATCAGTACCATTTGTAGCACAACCATCCTTCTCCCTCCTAAGAAGCAGTTCAGCCAGTCTCTTAAGTAGGTCCAATTTTCATCCTTAGACAAACTAATTGTTTGGATGATGCTATTTCCATCTATGAGCCTGGGCTTGTGAGTTTGGTGGGTTTTGTGCAGTAATGACAGTTTTGCATGGAGATAAACTTTGGTTTTGGGTAAAAAAAAATTCAAGTAAATAATACCCCACTTTTCCAGTCCCCTGTAACTTGCTTCTGTCATACAAAACTTTGTCTGATAATAAGCAGAAAAGGATTCAAGATTACAGCTCTAGACTGGAAAATAATTGCAAGCTTCCTGTTTGCTATTCCAATTCCACAGCAACCCACTTGTTCACCACCCATTTTATGCTGTTTTCAAAATGTTAGAGTATTTGAAGTAGGAATGCTCATTTCTATACGACTGTATTGCACCTCTCGCTGTAAAGTCCCACCCTATTGGAGATGTGTATTTTATTCTAATAGGAATGTTACTTTTTAATTAATGTTGCAGTGGAATATTCTAGTACCACAGGACTGCTAGCAGGGGGAATCCTTGACTTCACATGAAAAAGAGCTTATTAAGGTTGCAAAAATCACATACTCAAAAAATACCAGAAATAAGGTGTCCATGTAAGTGCAATTTTGCTCTTTTATGAATCTATCTTATAGTAATCACCCAATTAAAGGTTGATACGTCTTTTCATAAGGCCCAGCCTCAGCCTGTAGGATGGAGGGGTACTCATTCATGAACATATGTTATCCTCGCTGGACCTGTGTCATACTGCAGATGATTCCTTCTCTGTTCTGAAAGTAGAACTGGGAAATTTGCTATGATGTTCATCTCTGTCATGCCTGAGAGTTTCATGAGCAGTAATAAACTTGCTTTGGTACAGTGTGTTTGAGACACAGAATCACCAATCAGATTCACATTCATGTTGCATTTAGTATGTATTTGTTTCTGGTTTGTGACTTGCCCTTTTCAATGCCACCAAAAAAAAAAAAATTATGGTGAATGTTCCCAATAATTTGAGGGCTTAATTTGAATTCATGTTTTACTAGATACGGTATGTAGCATTTTCTGGGTCCTAAATTCAGATATCAAATTTCAGATACTCTCCTTTTTCTTTAGCTATATTAACTCTACTCCACTTGTTAACTCCACTTCAGCAAATGTAGGATTCTCCAAAATGAGAAATGTACTGAACAATCATGACTGATTCCCAAGAGCAGTTCTGTGTCATGCATGGAAGAGGCAGCATCATGTACAAAAACCAGTATATAATCATACTATTTAGTCCATTTTAAATGTAACATGTCTGCTATATAATGTGTCGACCTGGGTTAGATTAAATTTGGCTTTTTTTCACTTTTGTCTTGACTTTGCAGCCTGTGAGATTTAGAGTAGCTTTTTGTGTTTCAAGTTCCAAGGCTACGCTTACTTCTTTTTCTTTTAATTTTGTTATGAGACATCATGTTGTCATGTGGCCATCTGTTGGAGTGCACAATTCCAAGCTAATTTCCCTCCTTTGAGTAATATGGCAGTAATAAATTGCAAGAGCTGCGTGGAGATGGGATACTTGGACTGTGAATTTCACAAATATTTAAAAAATAGTGGTGGAGTTGGTAAAACTGGTGAGTCTCTGGTTTCACATCAGGAAGAGTATGGTTTAGTGAAAACAAAATACTTAATTGGTACTTCTAAAAATACATTTTCCTGTCTGTTTCTTCCTTTTTGTCTGTATGTCTGATGTGTTCTCTTTGGCTTCTCATACCAACCACAGGTCTTTTATCTAGTTGGTATCAGGCCCCTCTTTACAAATTTCTTACTCCAGTCTCTTTCTAAGACCTAATTCCTCCTAATTCTTTCTGTCTTTTCCTTTTTCCGGTTTTCTAGCTCTCACTCTGGCTTCTTCCTCTCTGCTCTTACTTCACCTCCTTCTCTCCTTTCTTGTTTCTAGTTCTTTTTTCTCTCTGGGCTTTGTTACTGCCAGCTGGTTTTCCTAACTCAGCTCCTTGTAACACCTCACCCTGCTAGTGCTGGTTTGTTCTCCTGTATTGTCCTTTATATTCTCTGTTTCACCTTTCTATGCCTTTTTCCAATCAGTTCTTTGTCTTAGCCTCCTGCTGGCACTCTTCCTTAATTCCCTGCTTCTGACTTCTAGTAGCACTGGTCTCCCTCCTATTAGCCTCCATTCTTTCTGTATCTTGATCGCATTTCTCAGTACTGTTTTCACTTCTGCCTGCTGGACTAGTGCTTCCCATTTTGCAGTTTTGAATTGGTCACATTCTGCTTTTGGGTTGCTTGAGTCTTAGAAATGTCCCCTGACAGCTTCACTGCTTTTGGGTCTGGTGCCAGAATCTGATGGCAGAGGTTCATTTACAGGAAAGGCCTGATCATCCCCAAACAGAAGTATATTTGGTGGGATTTTTAAAAGTATCTAGCTACTAAAATCTAATAGGCCTCTTCTGAGGATGTGCACATGAAAACCCCCATATTGCTTTTCAGCGAGTTCTGTTTGCTGGTTTTGTGGTAGCTGGCAAGGGCATGCCTTAGCTAAAGTCCAGGTCCTACTGAAAATCAGAATATTGTAGAGCTTTTCTATGAAAAAGTCCTGGGATGTTTATCATGGGTGGAATAACTTTTTTCCAAGAAAGAGTTTTAAGGAAATCATTGGGCTGCTTCAGCTGAAGTTTTCAACCAAAACAAATAAAAAAGCCCCAGCTTGAAGTAGATTCTCAGCATTTAAGATTTCAGCCTGATGGTGTGACAGTAAAGACCTTGTTTGCAGTTGTTTTATCTGTGGGTGTAATCAAGCTGTCTTAATCTATAGACACTCTTACAATAAATCTGCATAAAAGAAGCAAGCAAGCTATATGGCATAAGATCTGGTTTTCATTTATGACCAAGCAGAAAATGTAGGCTTCCTTGAGAAATAAATCAACATTATTTCTTTTTGCTCAGCCTGTAAACTCTTTTTATTGGTTTTGCAGTTCTACTATGTTTCTGTAGTGGAACTGTGCAGGTGCTTCTCAGCTTCCTTGAGCTCAGTGGTAGTTCCATTTTGAAATCAACCATCCTGCTCTGAAGGATGGTGCCACCTTGCTTTATTTAGGTTCTGTCACAGATCTGTTCTGAATCCTCAAAAGTGTGTGTTAATATTTACAAGGGCTTTCAGGCTTTTGGAATATGTATGACTGGTTTTGTATCTCAAAGAAATAAAGCCAAACAGAAGACACTTGCTTGAGTGTTTCTTAGGGTATGTTGAGTCATACACACTTGGTTTGTCTGAATTCCTGGAAGTGCCCATGCCTTATTTGAGATGAAGTACCCATGTTGTATTTTGAAGCAGTTGCAGTGTGATCAGAAACGTTTTGCCTTTGCACCTGTGTGGGTTAGAAGTTGGTCCCTGTCAGTTCCTGTGCCTCATGAAAGGCAGTAGGTTTTTGGGAAAGGGCTGGGGCTAGAGGCTGGAATATGTCAAATGGCTTCAGTTCCTTGCAGCCCTGAAGGCAGCCCTGGGGTGGGACCTGGGCTCTGGCTTCTGTGCCGATGGTGGTGTCCAGCCCCACGGTGAGGAGCCAGGCTTTGCCCCGCTGTTGCTAATTGAGTGCTGTGCAAGGCACATAGCATCGTATGCTGCCAGTTTGTACATATGGATGCTTTTATATAGCATAATTCAGGCTGTTTTTTAATTTCCTTTCATAGAAAATAGTCTTTGGCAATATAGGGTGTAAGAGAGCTGAACATTTCTCAGCCATTTATATAAAAATCAAGATCAGTAGTGCCACTTAAGTATTTTTTGTATGGAAATGACTGTGGTTAACATTGTCTGTGTTTGGCTTTCATCTGTCCAAATTTATGAAGAGCCTCTGATGTCTCAAGATAACTTAGTCCTAGGGATGTCTCCATGGAAACAGGATCTTTGTTTTCTGAAATTTTATATCCTCTCCCTCTGCTTGTTCCTCCCCACCTGGAGTCAGATCCTGATGGTTGCAGCACACTTGTCCCTACAACATATATCACAGGCAGTTGCACTTACAGAAGATTTTTGACTGTAAATTAGGAAAAGATTAACAGGAAAATAAAATGAATTTTCAGAGAGCAGAAATCCTCTGTCTTCACGGGTATCATTAAAGATGAGTAACAGGCAGAACATAGAGGGTGAGACAAAAGTATGAAGCTTACAGAAGAATAATTGCTTCTATTAGAAGTGTTTTAGGTTTTCCCTGACTACTTTATGGAGAAAAATATGTGGAAACAAGGACAAGTCTCAGTTCTTTTCCCTTTCTGCCACAATGAGCTGATCATAGCTCCGTGTCTGCTGACTTCATGACAAATCGTAATCTGTTATATAAAATACTTGGAACTGCTAACCAAAATCCAGGCCAGCTTTGTAATGATGAACAATTTCTGCCTTATTGGTATTCAGCTGATTTTCTACAGTGTGCTGATGACATTTTTCATAGTTGTCCTTTAACAGAAAAAAAAAAAATGCTATTAATTGGATCTGCTATTAGTATTTGCAATAAAAATGCTGACCTTAGTAAGAAATCGAGCTCCATACACAGATCAGGCATTAGGTAGAAGGTTTCTGGCACTTCTTCCTGATCCTTGTACAATCTTCCTTTCTGATGTACTAGCTAAAGAAATGCATTCATTACCCATATTGGTTTTCCAACAAAGAAAACTCCATTCTGTTCTAACATACTGTGTATGTTTTTGATGATTGCTCTGTATATTTTTGATGATTGCGGTATTATGCAGTGATAATTCATGCTGTAGTCTAAATGTATGATTCCTGCCCTTATAATGAGAAGACATTTTATTTATTTCCTGTGATTTGCTAATGCTGCATTTGAAATTATCTGTGGCAAGATTTTTACTCCCCTTTGCTAAAATCTCTCAAGTTACTTAGCCTCTTGCATGCTGTTTCCCTTTGATTCAGGCCAGAGGCATTCATGTTGAAACATTAAGCATTCCGTAGCAGAGGGATGCTCTTCCAAAGCTTGGGTATCTAGAAAGCTTTTCCCTCAAGCTTTAGTTCCAGTCTCCTGCTGTCTTCTAAACTCTTCCAGCAGATTGAAACAGCAGGTAGCACTGGTTATGCTACATACTTAAGAGCGTTTTAAATTAGCACATCTTAGTTACCATTGCACTTCTCTACTTGTGAGCTCTTGGGGTGTGTTGGAGTAGGCAGGAGGTCATAAGTGCCTCGCTCAGTTCTCCAGGGCAGTGTTGGTCAGTCATACTGTGGTGGGGATGGTGCTTGGTCCTGCTCATGAGGTGACAGTGACAGCCTGGGGTCAGCCTCTGAAGCAAGAGGCAATTGGAACTGAGTGATATCAGGCATCTGGGCAGGATGGGAGGTGACCCTGCAATTCAGGGTGCCATGGGGAGGCAGCTGAGTGCTCTGGAGGGGAGTGCTGCTTTTTCCTGTGGCTGAAGTTCTGGGAGCTGCTGACTTACATCACTTAGAGGCATAGTCTGGGAAAGGGGGTATGAGGAGAAGCAATCCATACTCTGGCAGTGCTGCTAAATAAGTGCTCTGCAAATGGCAGTATTGCTTAATTTGTTCCTAAATAAGGAATTCCCTATAGGTGCCTCACTGTACGTAATATGTTTAAATAATTAAAGAAACTATTTTTAGGTCATAGAAGTTTCATATGTAAGATTCATGAAAGCAGATCCAAGAGTAGCATGAGTGACCAGACTACCAGACATGGTGTCACAGTGTAAACTTACTATCAGGAATTGTGATTGCAAGTCAACTGTGTACACCCATACCTAGAGACGCACCCCCCTTCTCTCCCTGATGCTGGCAGGGCCTTGGGGTAAGGGTGAGAGGCAGCATTTGTACTATGAAATGCAGGGATTGTCTGTTCACATTGGGTGAATGTGTCCATCTTCTGTGTGCTAAAGCAAAGAAGGCTGGAATAGCTGAAGGGAGTTGGGATACAGGATTTCTAGGCTTGCTGTTGTCGTTCTTAGTGCATACAGATCATTGGGAAAACCAAGGTTGCTTGGTAATTCGAGCAACATTGTCACTTGGGGTGTTTAGTTACTTTGCTAAAACTTCAGGGGTGGAAGGAATGAACCTGCTAATAACAAAGTATTCCTATGAGAGATCTTTGAATGAAATATGTGTACCTGTGAGACAAGATTAACACATGTGGTGTATTATTCAAGTTGATTTTCATTAAAAAAGTAATACATTGCTGTCTTTTTCTCCTTTAGATTGTTTACTAAACGAAGAGAATTTCTCAGTGAGGTGCCCCAAGCACAAGGTAAGAATCCTCTCCTAGATTATACCTGGGTTTCTTGGTGCCCTCTTCTGGTTTCTAAATTTGGATTATTAATTTTTTTACCTGGATAATGTCTGTAGTCAGAGATGCTTTTAGTTCAATTATTCTGTGATACATGCTTGTGGTATGTTCTGGGGGCAAACATCAACTCAAGAAGACTACCAAGTTTAAGAAGACAAAATTTTTGTTCCATCTGCTCAGTGTTTCTTTAGATTCTTGATGTCTCTTCAGAAAGCTCAGCTTAATTTCCTGAATTCTGTGATAGAATCAGTGTGTTGCTCACTATTCCTGTTTGAATATTACATTGAACTGTCAGGTTTTCTCCTTGTATTCACTGAGGATGCAAGGAAGAAGAAAAATTACTTTATGAAAAATTTCTTTTTGTTTTTGAAAACATCTTGTTCTAGTTTATCAGTAGTAACTGGACTGAGTCCAACCTCTCAGCCTTCAGTGGATCTCCGGGGTTGTTCTGTACATCTTATGGCTCGTCAGAAGACCCCTATGCTGCTTCTGCCCAGGGTCTGGGCATCCTTAATGATTGTCCCCGGAGCCTGCAGACACAGTGGTACAAAGGGCTGTCTGCATGGCAAGAGGGGATGAGGTAGACAATACATACTCTCTTGTAGCCATAAGTAGTGAGATACAGTGCTGGGAATACCCCTCCCAGCCCTTAAGGGAGGATACATCCCTGGGAGGTTGTGGACACCAGTTCACAGTTTTAAATGGTCAGAGAGTTTCCATAAAAAAACAACTGTTCTTGTTGCCAGTTGAATACAGCAGGGATTGGGCAAGTGTTTGGATGCCTTGTGCTGAAAAGGAAATGATAATAGGCAAGAATTTTGTTGCTTTCTAGCAGGGATTAGTCTCCATCTAGTTCTTGTCTGCAGATTCCTGCCTAGAATTAGACTGACATCTGGTGGTCTTTTGTTTTCACAGCTTATTCTTAATCTGTCTTTTGTAAACATATAGGAATTAGCCTCATGTTCCTTTCTGGATGTTCCTACCACAAAATGATGTATTTAAAATGCACTGGAAGATTCAGTGCACATTCAGGCTCTTATCCAGAATTGGCCTACTTTTCATTATATAAAAGAAAATAAATTATTGTGCACAACTTTGGAATATTTTTGACAATGTACAGCAAGCTTAAATTAATGCATTAATGCTACAAGAACCTGGAGATCTTGCCAAACAAAAATGGGAAGGATGAGCTCCCCTTTCTGTGTAACCAAACTCCCTAAGTGCCACCCTCTGCTCAACTTCGGATACTTGACTAAAGATAATTGGAGCGTGTCCTGGGTTTGGATGGGATAATTATTTACTTCTTGGTACTTAGTTGCCAGCTGGGGTTAAACCATTACACAGGGTTGTGTATTTAAAGGCTGTTTTCTTTTTGCTGCCTGAAGTTGCCTGAAGTATTCCAGGGAAATCTAGTGTTACATAGATGGCTTGGGACACTGCTGCTGTATGTGAGCACTTTGTAGTGATGGTGCTCAAACCATGAAGGGAAAGAACTGGTTTAGATTCAGGTAAAGAATCCAGCTTTTCAGAGAAAATTCTGAGAAGATACATAGATTTCTGAAGTAATCCTGCAGGATGGGAGTGGGACAACTACCAATTAAGTTCACAATGGTTCTTCATGAGACAATAAAATTTTGAATTCTATTCAGAACTATCCCACTGCAGATCACTTTCTTTATTGTGTCAAAAACAAAAATTCAACACCAGCAGCCTTTATTTGACACTGAAGTTTGTTGACTTTTGCTTAGTAAAGACAGAAATAATTTCTTTAAAGCCAAGTAGAGTTTTCTTTGCTTTCTGTCTCTGCCCTCACTGTGTGTTTCACTAATCATTACTGGTTTGTTCCAAATCCTTCTGCAGGGCAGAATATAAGCTCACTCTTCCTTCCATTGTAGTGGCTGGAAAGGGGAATTCCAGACAGTGACAATGCAGGAACAGGAAGGCTGAAAGCCATTGCTTTAGAATGATTGGAGAACAAATTGCATTAATTTTTTTACATGATATGAGTATGAGCAACTGAAAGGAAGAAAGACTTTGAATCAGTCTGTTGAAAGTGATGCTTTTAGGTAACACCAGCTTAGCACTATTAGTAACTGTCTCATAGCTCACTTTGCTGTTCTGTAGCTAATGGCTGGAGGAGCTAACTTTATAAATCTCCAGCATTAAGTCCCCCAGTACAGGGCCTCTTACCCTTTGACAGTCCGTGCCTCACACCAGTAAATGCACTTCATCACGTAAGCCAGCTCCTGGAGAGCAAAGGTGCTTCTTGCCTCATTAACTGTGCTTGACACTTAGGGCATAAGCAAGCTGAGTCCAGAGGGGACTGATCCTGCCTTTCCATGTGCTCCCCAGTGAGCTTTTCCATTTCCTTCTGTCAGGATTGATGCTTCAACCATCTATGTCCTGAATGTGCTAGTTATGCAAAATAGCAGCTTTTATCACAGGGAAAATGCTGTCTGAAAACTGTCATCTTTTGAGGGGTTCCTCTCACAGATCCAACCAGCTCTATCTGCATCACAGCAAGTGAGGTTGCAATAGACCTGCTGAGGATGCTGAGCCTTGGAGAGGCTATAAAGGGGATGGGATACCTCACCTTTTGTGGCTCAGCCATCTTAGATTGTCTTAAGCCAACTGTTTGGGCAATTTTCAAGTGATGCTTCTCAGCTTCTTCTACCTGTTTGTGTTGAATTCTGTGTTTCTTAAAATTAACCAGGCTTTCATATCTCAGACTCTACTTTTATGGAATTACCTGCATTTGTCTTGGGGAAAACTCTGTCTGAAAAGTCTATTTCTAACTCCAATACTGACTTCTCTTTCTCCCTCTTTCTCTCTCTCTCTCTCTCACTTTCTGTATGTTTCCTTTCCCTACCCCTGTCTTCTGTTTCTCCCTCATTTTCTTTTTCCTCCTCTGTTTGGCTTGCTGGTTTGTCAGCCCCTCCTTCCTTGCTCTCTTCCCTCCTTGCAGAACAAGATGGTGAAAGGCAGCCTCAGCACAGAGCAGTCGGAGCGGGGGTGAGGGGGGAAGTGTACTCCTGGGAATGGATATAAAAGCAAGCACAGGTGAGTGGGGGAGAGCTTCCTGTTCCATCTGCTGTCTTACATCCAGTGCCTTCCCCATTTCTGTGAGAAATCAAGGTGCTTTTGTATATATTCAGAAAATTTGTAATGATTTTTTCTCTACTGCCATTCTGTTAATTTTATTTGTATTTCTGCAGCAGTTCCTTCTGTTAAACAATGAAAGGCAAAGCTTGTTAGCTGTTACAGCTACCTGATTGCTCTCTCAGCTAAACGAGTGGCAGAAATCTCCTTTTGTATCATGTCCATAAGGATCTGAAGGGTTTTTTTTCTGTGGGTCTCAGAGTAGTTAGTAAGCTTCTATATAAGTATTTAAGAATTTAATCTTAAATTCTGTATGTAAGGAAAAAATAATATTGATTAATATTGTAACCCAGGATTCCTGTTTTCTGGAAATGTAGATAGATCCAGGGATAAGTAAATCAGTCTTAGCAGGACCCCACTGTGTTTCTTTTAGCCCAGCTTTTTTCTTTATTTTGAAAACAGACATGGGGCATAGAAGGTAGAACTGTACCCAGAAGTGGTCACACTTCCGTAACTTTGTAATGTGCCTAAGTTCCTCACTGCACTTCCTTCCTGCCTCCTCCTTTGTCTAGGCCCAGCATTAATACAGCCAGGTGAGAACTTGGTTGGGAATTCAAGATGTCTGAAACAGCTTTTTTCTGTGTTAGCATCAGAGCTGGGTCATTTTCCTAATCTGGTTCACTGTGTAGCTGGGAAAGTGCACTGGCACAAGGAGGGAGTAGCACTGAGGTGGGAGTTAGCACGCAGGGAATGGGATGTGGTTGGGATTTCTGATTTCTTACTCAATTGCAAGTGCATTGCAGTTCAAAGGAAACAGGGTAGATTAAAATGAAATAAGTCTTCGGCATTCAAATTAATATTTGTTGGCACCCTGTCCATGAAACTGCAGCTCAAGAAGGTCTCTTGCCTTCATTTCATTCACTACTTGCTACTTGCATTTCTTACTCAAGCTATTTGTTTCTGTCTTTTTCTTGCAATCATGCAGGGGGAGTTTCTTGTTCATGTCAGTTCTTGGAACTGCTCATGGTAAACCCCTTCCTTCATTGCCATTCCCTTGCTTCCCAGGCACTTCCCTAACTTAAAATCTTTCCTGTTTTTCAAGTAAAGTAATTGTGAAGTACTTCTAATGGTGTTCTGTGTGAAGGATGAGAGATTGGAAGATTGTGGGGTTTTGGTGCAGTAGCAGAAGACAGGTAGTGTCCCATATAAACACTTTTTGTAGACTGATTGCTGACTTGCTTTAGCTCAGCTGTGTTCTGTGACTTTCCATGTTTAATAGCATTTGTTCTTGGCTTTGGAGTGTTGTTTTAACAGTTACCATGTAAACAATATTTAACAGTATTCAGTGTTTGAGTAGCTTTCTCCTTCCATGGTAAAGGTCACTGGGATTCCTTTAAGCTTTTCTCTTTTCTTTAAAATGTAACAGGCAATGTAATTTATAATGTCAAAGCAGGACCAGAGTCCCACAGCCAAAGTGCCTCTTCTGGCTATTTAACACTAGGGAAGTCTGGTGATTTTTGGGCCATTCCTTTAAGGTACTAGCAAGCATTACTGTGTCCCAGAGACCTTTACAAAGCTTTGTTCCCTGCATTATTTTCCAGTGCTAGCTCTTTTTTTATATATCATAGGAATGTCTTGACTTAAGACCTTTTAGGCTGTGTAATCTCTGTACTGTATTCACTGTATGTTCTAGATATCTCTCTTAAGGCATCATTTCTTTTAAATCCATTTTTGCCTCAAGTAATTCATACCAGAAGGTCCTCTTCAGCCACCCTTTTCAATGTTTAGAGTGCCTTAAAAATTAGGTTCTCCAATTCCAACCTGATCTTGCATTCCAAAATAAAATCCATGCAAATCTAAAATATCCTTATGACAAAAAAAAAAATTGTTGTATTACTGTGATAATTAAAGAACTTCAGGGGAATTCTGTAACAGTCCAGGTAATACTGGAACTGCCCTTCTGCTGGCCTTAGCGTAAGATACAATGGATACTCAATTGTGTGAGGGCTGTTTTAGTCCTGATTCACTCCCAGGCCTAGCAAGTTAAGAAAAATCCTGCATGTTGGATTATATCCAGGCAAGTCAGTGTATTCTGTCTTCGTTGCTTCTCTCTCCCTGAGCCAGTTGCCTCTAGAACATTTGGATAAAGTCCAGATCTGGAAAGTGACTGTGAGAGCAAGTCTGGTGCTCTGGATCTTGTCCAGGAATGAAGCAGGACTCTGTGTGTTGAGCCTGTTTCTTCCCTGAGCCAGTGCCTAATGCTCTGGACCAATTCCAGGCATGGGCAAGCTGCAGTTGTACAGGAGCCAGAGACAGCAACACGGCCTTGACACTCCTTCAGTGAAGGCTCGCAGTTGCGCAGTAATGAAACCACAAAGGGCAGCTGCCTGAAATCTCTGGGAACCTCCCCCTTTCCTCTTCAACTGCTGCTCCATAACCTTGCCTGTCTGGTGTTTGTATGTGCTTGCCTGACTCTTTACTCACTCTCAGCCTGGCACCCCTGGATGCGGGATATCTGCAGCCAAGAGCTGGGCTTGCTGGGATGTAATCTAATTGGTGTGCTGATGATCAGAGCAGTATTGACTTCTGCATCACACTTAGTTAGGGTTCCTGGAGTTTAATTGCCAGCTATGAACAAACATGGGTGTTACTTTGCTCCCAGGCACACGTCTAACTCTGTAAACTGCTTTCCATATGCATCACTTCTGGTGCAAGTTCTTTTCCCAGGCTCACTAGCTGGTAGGAAGGGATTTATCTAAGTCATATCTAAGTAACCTTACTAAATAAATAAATAACTGTTGGGCTCACTTGTGTTACAGGATAAGAAAGGAAGGAATACATTATTTTAAGCTTCACTGTCTCTCTATGCAGAGTAAGAATGAGAACTGTAACTCAGAGAAATGAAATTTTAACTTTATGGTTTCTCTTTTGAGCTGAGCCTCCGCCAACCTAGTAAACTCCTGAAGTTCATTTTCTCACCTCAGAAAATTTCTGGACAGGGAGAACATGTGCCACACTTGGACGTTTCCACATGTGTCTTGAAAGACATCACAAGCTTAGTCCTTCTATGAACTGTCTCTGTAATGTGCAAATTAGATCAAAAAAGCAAAAAGAAATGTCACCTGCCCTTCAATTAGTTAAACCACATGCAGCTTTACCTTTAGCTGGTGAAATCTGGCAACTTCCTGGTATGGTTCCTGGACTCCTGTAATTTTGATACTAGTTTCACTATCTGCTGCATATTCACTGGAAACCCCCATTGGATGGTAGGTAGCATCATGGCCCATAGGGGAACATTTGGGTGCAGTCCCTCATGGCATCCCAGGAGCTGTTGCCATGTAGGGACATGCTTGGCCCGTCTCTTTACCAATCTCTTAGTCAATGTGAGGAGCAGGCATGAGATAAGGGAGCTCCTGCCTGGCTGCTGAAGGTAGAGGTTCTGTAAGAGTGCCATGCCATTGTGGCACGGATCATCCTGTCGTCCCAGACCTCCTTCAGAACAGGGCTTGTTTAATTTTTTTTTTTTGCTGGTTGTTAAACTAAGGGCTTTTATCACATGGATTAGCTTTCATGAACTATTCGCCGTTGTGTATATCTGTTTTCAGTCCACAAAGCTAAAGAGCTGTTGGTGTTGCTGCTGTGGTAGGCTGCTGAGTGGGTTTTTCCAAAGCCTGAGAGACCTGTTTGCAAATGGAGGGAAGGAACCATTCCAATATTATTTTGACTTTGTTTTTCAGGTTAGGCTGTTGAGATAAAAAGCGGTGGACATTCGTGACTGAATGGAATCTCTCCCACTGTGCAGCCATGCCCCCTCTCGATGTGCCTGCCAATGCCAGCACTTCCTTCATAAATTCTTACATCACACTCAAGACTGATGACATCACAGAATCTGACCAAGGAGTCTGAACCAGCTGTTTCCATGGACACAATCTCCATAGTGACAGTGGGGAGGGGAGGGGGAAAAAGGAAACAGGTGGGGGGAATTAAAGAGGGAGGGATAAATATATATATATATAAAGATCTATTTTTTAGTCTTGAAAGACTTTGTTTTAAGTGAAAGGTGCGCTATATCCCTTTTGATGCTTTTGATTAAGATTTTTAAAACCCCATATAAATTAAAAAAGAAACCTATAGCTAAAGTAAATATTAAATCCAAAATTAAAGCCAGGAATGTGGAGCCTAACATTTTGTGGGAAAGAATAGCAAAACTGGGAGTACTCCAAACAGGACTTGTCTCTCTTCCTCTTGCTTTCTTTCTCACAACATCTGATGAAATTCAATTTTGAAAGGCAAATCAAATACTGATAAATTGTTTGTAGGATGTGGGAGGAAGGCTTGGATGATTGCAGGTAATTTGGTATCAGTAGTTGTGTCTGAGGGGTAGGGAGGTTTCCATTTTTGAGAAACACTATTAACAATGTAAGCTTGAACAACATCTGCAGATTGTTGGGTCATGAGACTCATGAAGTAAGAGGTTTCTGCTGCTTGCTAGGTCCCATACACCTCATTGGTGTGGGAACACCTGTACCACACAGGGGAAGGGAGTATCTGCCCTGTGTGCAACAACGTGACCCCCAGATCATTCCAAGAAACTGCCTTCAGTTTGGAAGGCAGGTGAGAGGAAGACATGGTTTACCTGCCAGATGGGGGAACAAGAGGAAGTCTGAATGTTGGTGGAGTCAATGTATCTTCAAACTTACTGGGGTAAATCCACTTGGCCCTCTTTTATTTTTGTATTTTTGCTTTTCCTAAGGAAGGAAGAGGGAATGTCAGTGTAACAACCTACACTATATGGTTATTCGGGGTCATTGTTTTCCTTTTTTTTCCCTTTTTTTTCTTTTTTATTCTTTTTTTGGGTTTTGTTTTTTTTTTTTTGTAAATTATGTAATTTTAAAACATTTGGGTTTTAGGAACAACAACAAAAAAAATCATATTTTTTTCTTGTTAAGGCCTTAAGAAAGGGGTTAGTGCATCTTTCAGGGGTCACTCTGCCATGGGAAAAAAATAGCTGTTTCACAAACAGTTTTATATAAAAAAAGCTTAAAAAAACCAAAAAAACGAATAAACTTCATTTTAACCTTGTCTCCTTTTGTTTTGTGCGAACTTGATTTGTTTAAAAGGACAGAGACAGTACTATCTGCTGCTTTTTTGGTTTCTTTGCCTTCATCGGTTCTGCCTTCAGTGATGACCTTCTGAACTGGCCCAGCAAGAGGAAGACCACAAAGGCTTTGAAAAACTAAAGCTTAGGATTTGTTTGATGTTCAGAGTTAACAAACCAATGACTGGATGAATTTTCTGTTCGTGTGAGTTGGTGATATTTCACCAGGTCACTGACTTCTTTCACTCATAGGATGGTAGCATATCCTAGCGATATCAAACAGCGTGTTGTTTACTGGGAAGTCACTAGAGATAGGGATCTAACCAGCATGACATGGATGAAAAAATGGGGTTGATATTGTGGGGAGGGAAGAATTGTTTTAAAAGTTATGTACTGGATGCTTGCTCAGCTACTCACATTTTGGAGTATTCAGCACATAAAAATAAAATCTATGATAGCTCATATTAAGATATCTATTTTAACTCTATTTTTAAAAGATCAATTTAAAGATTTGGGAGATAATTTGGCAGTTATTTATTTCTATAAGTTGCTACTCTCACTCATAAATATTTGGAAAGAAAAGGCAGCCTTCTGCTTACTCCTTTCCCAGTAGCAGCTACTGAAGTTAGTATGTCCTTTACATTAAGAAATAGACCTGTTGTGATAAATGTCACTAATGTGTCATGAATTGGTGCTGAAAATATTTAACTGCTGGTGTAGTCAGAAAAAAGTCATTTTTAGCATAGTTAATGTGATTGAGTAAATGACTTCTTTTCAACTGAATAAAAATTGGTTTTTTTTTTCATAGTGTCTGTTCTATTCTACATACTCAAAAAAAAAAAAGTGTTCCTGTTATTGCATTGATTTTATGTTGGTGAAGAGTCAACTCTGTATGTAGCATTGTGACAGCAGAACAGTGTGTGCTGGAACTGTTGAATTTGACACTTTCACTTTGGCTCTTCAGGGTGGTGTCAGCAGAGGCAGAAGGTTTTTGGGTAGCTGGGAGGGAGCCTTGGAAGTTTTCCTTGTGGGAGCTTGTGGCAAGTATGGAGATTCAATATTTCGTCATGCACCGTGGCTGGAAGGTAGTGGCAGTTGTGTAGAGCAAATGAAGAAATGGTGCCAGTCATTTCTATGGGAAGTATTTCTCAGTGGGAAGTGCTTAACATCCTTCAACTCAGCTGTGGCTTAATCCCCCCAGTGCTGTGGTCAGAGGTGAGGGGTGCTCTCCAGTAGAGCAGGATTGTGCTTGGTGGTCAAGTCTTTACAGAAACCTTTACAGAAACAGCTGTCATGATTCTGAAACCGAGCCAGGAGGAATTAAAACAATGTGTAATGGCTTCCTGGGAGAACTTGGAAATTATCCAGAAGAGTCATAAAATCCTGTTGGAAATAAAAATTTCTTTTGGCTGAGAAAAAACAAAGTGCTGAGTGGATTTTGAAAACTGTTGTGCAGAATGTTTACCTGCTTCATCGTGCAAGAGCAGTTAACAGCTTGTCATCGTGAATACCCAAACTGGAAAGTCTTGGGTAATTTAGAATTTGTGGAGCAGAAATGACCTGCAGCAGAACCTTAAAACCTTGAAAGAGATGGCGCATAGATGAGAATGGCATCTGTTTAGGAATTACCTGTTCAGATGAGGAATGAACTAACGAGAGCTTGGATAAGGCAGCTCATTTTCAAAGCGTTTCTCCGTGCTGACTCCCATCGGGATATCTTGAAAGAGACTTATACCAATGTGCTGGAATTGAGTGTGATGGTTTAGCAGCGTTTCCAAGCTAACCAGATTGAGTCAGCACTGCTGCGTGGGGTTGAAAAAAAGGATGTTTTCACATCAAGAATAACGAATGGATTCAACATGCAAAGGGTGTTTGTTCATATGACAAGGATAAAGGGAGTCCTTCAGGAGCTGGGGGAAGCCGTGGGATGTGTACAGAGCAGATCTCAATACCAGAAGCTGCCCATTGATACATTTGTTGTTTATATGTATTGCATGTGAAATCCACGCTTGGAAACCTGAGGCACAGACCACTGTGGATCATGCAGCACAGGAGAAAGCCATCTCAGCTGCTCCTGCCAAGGGCTGTGACCAACCTCACTGATCTGTACCACAGAGGTATGCAAGGGAATTTTACTTGGGGTTGTGACATTTTTGAACTTTCTGAATTGCTTAGAACAAGACAAACTGATGATGTTCAATAGTATTGAAATAAAATCATTTAGAGGTTTAGGGTGCAGGATCTGATAAAGCATGTTGCACATCTAGTTCATGGAGTCCAGCTAATGGCAAGCTAAAGAAATACATTTTTGGTGGGACGTGCATGTAAAAAAACCCAAAAGTTTGTTGAGATATGGGTAATTGAATGGCAGCTCTGGAATTTTGACTAATGTGCAGTAATGTACATAAAAATGTGTATTAGGAAAGATAATACCTTTAACTGGCACAGTTACAAAGGGAACATTTGGGGGATGACTTGGATATAAACTTTAAAAATTATCATGTCTGTTAAGTGAGTTATTACATAAGGAATTACCTGTGCTGTCCTGAGTGCAGTGGGTGTCCTGGACATGATAGAAATATTTGGTAGAGCGGTACAGCATTGGTTTGTCTGATCTAGTCCCTGACTTGCCAGAATGACTGAAAGAAGCAGTCCTCTATCTCAAAATGTAGAAAATTAAGTGTAAATATCATATTTTTGGAAGTGGAACAGAATATTTAGATGGTTGAGGATGAATAATTCACCATTGCTCTGGAATTTTTTTTAATTATTAAAAGTTACATGCAATAGAACAGAGTACACGTAACCCAGGTTCAGTTACAGATCTAGAAAACACAAAGATACGGTTTTGCTGACTTTGCTATGAGATGCTGGAAGAGTAGTTGCAATCTTGGCTTTGGGTTAGAAATCCCTCTTGTGAAACAAGACGAGATTCTTGTCTGGCTATGAAATTCAACAAACAAGTTTAGGTCAGGGTTTAGTTTTTCATTTGTTTCAGGTTTTTTAAGATGGAACTCTGGCAGCATATTATGAGTCAGAGAATTTAGTCAATAAAGGTAGAGGACAAAAGTGATTATTAGAAAATTGTGGGAGACTGGTAACACTGGTACTTTATCTTGGCATTGCTACAGGCCAGTGAAAGCTTGGCTAATGCACATCACTGAAAAATTGGCTCCATATGGATATTGTGCACCATGAGCTCCCTACCTGAGCTGTGCTATTCAGCCAGGAATTACTATGTAAAGCTCTGAAGGAGATTATGAGGTTTTTCCTTGGAGTGCAAAGGTCAGTTAAATAGTTGCTGTCATTTTCCCTACGTGTGATTGATTGTTTGCTCTTCCTGTACTTCTAGTGGAATCCAAAAGGTTTACTCTGTCATCCAGCTGGAAAGTGAAGAGAGTGCTGCTTACAGAATATTTTTGTAGGATTTAATTTCTTAAGTGGATCCCACTTCCTGTTTAGTGTGTTTTCCTGTTAAATGTGTTTAGCCTGAACTGGAAAGAAAGCATCACTTGTTTGCTGGCTTCTTCCACAGAGTAATACTGTGAGCTTAGATTGCTTCTCTTCCCCCTTCATCCTTAGAGATTTATTGCAATTTATTGCTTAACTCAGTTTTAATGCTGCAGTTTCAAGGTTTTGACCTTACCTGGCCAGCTTTAGAAATGCTGATACTTCTTAGCAGCCCCAGAGAGACTTAACTCCCATCCAAATAATTTGAAAAAGAAGAATAGTCTTCTAGCTCGTAGCAAACCCCCTGTGAAAAAACTGTTCCACTCTAGCTGGGCTTCAGGAGTCATGCTGATGTGTTCTCCTCTGCATGATAAAAACTGCTTGTGTTACTGAACATGAGTATGGCCAGGTTACCTGCAAATACCACCTGTATCGCATTAGGGGCTTTTGGGTTGTAGCTACCTCTCCCAAACTTGGAGATCACAGTAGATAGATTTGGAGGTTGGTGCTCCCTGGCTTTGAGATACAGCATGGTAATAGTTTTCTGAGTTTAATTGAAATTGTTTCTTTTCAGTGCCACATCTTTTAATGGGGGGCAGCAAAGAATGGCAGAGAAATTGTTGGGGAAAGAGCTGGGAGGTATTTACACTAAAAATAAAAATGGTGGTGTAAGGATAAATTTGCATTGTATAGTGAGAAGCCTCTGAGCTGAAGCCAGTTCATCAAAGCAATGTCACCACTTCTCGTGGTTTTATTAAAAAAATGAAAGTCTGCACACTTCACAGCATTTGTATGATAAAAACTTAATTGGACTTTCACCCAAGTTCTTGCCCACTGGAACTGAGTTTCCTCTCAGAAGAGAGATGGAATTATTAGATTAGTACAAATTGTAGATTATTTTGAGGATATTACTTTGAAGGCTGTTGGAATTACAACAACCTGGATTATGGAGCATAACAATGCCTACTTCTTCTTGTGCACTTTTTCATCACTTTGGATTTGAAGTAACTTGTACGTAAGACAGATCTCACGGTTCACATTTGTAGTCAGAAGAAATACAGAAGAGCGAACAAATTACTTCTTAGTGTTGTACTATGAAATTCAGAATTAGCAGGTGGCAATGGATTTCAAAGAGGCAAGAAAGCACCATGTTGTAAGCTGAAGAAGGACTGATTTAATGTAACACTCCTGGGTTTTGTAATATTTTGCTGCTTTGGAAACCAAGGTGAGGAAGTCACTGTATAAAGTGGATGTTGCAGTCTCTCTGTTCACCTGGTGTCCTGCTGTGGCTGAAACTTCTGTGGAGGAATCACTGCTTGTACAGGTGATAGATGGCAAAAATACAACTGCCCATTTGGGAATGAAGCCAAAGAGCTGCACTCTGCAAGAAAATAAGCCAGTAAAATAAATACTGCTGATGGAGACTTTTTCAGCAACCAAAAGCAGAGGCCATACAGAATGGCCCAATTTTGTAGCATCTAAGCAGATTTCCAGGGTTGTGTTTGACTCTTCTCCAAGTGGGAATCATTCTTGTCTTTACATGACAGGAAAGTGTACCAGGAGAAGAAACAGTTTCCAGAGCTGTGAGATGGAAGTGGGCATTTGCAGCCTTAAAGAGGACATCAAGGTTTGCAGGCCTCATGACTAACTCCAGCTGCACCACTCATTTCTTTTAAAACCAGCAGCATCATGTTCCCACAGGAACACAAAAGACTTGGAAAAGATATAGTTACAGTAGAAGTGTAAACATTCCTTATGACAGATGTGAAAGATGGATTTAGCAAACATCGAGTTTGTGGTCTGCTGCTTCAGAAGAGGGAAAGAAGGTACATCTTTTTAACTGCACAGACTTGTTGCTGCCTAGAAGATTAACGGACCAGAAGATGTACAAAGTATTATTAGGAAAACTGCTAATCAACAGCAGTGACTGTAAGACTGCCAGTAACTGGGAAAAATTCTGCTTTGGAGCACGGCCCTTTGGCCTCAACCACTGCCCACCACCCACATTGGGTGGATTCTCCCCTGAGCTGAGCACAGCAGTTCTATGATCCAAAGTTCCTCTTGAAAATAAGGAGAGGTGAGAAAACCTTTTACAAATGGCCCAGTCATGTGAAAGGGTCATGGAGAAATAACAAGTAAGTAGAAATCTGGGAGGACTTTTTCCTGAGGTTTCTTCTAGGGAATGCTATGCCATGAGAGGAGCCCTGAGATGACTGGAAAAGCACTTGAGGGCCTCACTGGTGGGGGTGGCTGTTGCTGATGACCTTTTCTGTGGGAAGCTCTGTGTGTGAGTTTTGGAAGAACAGTCCAGGTAGGTACCTTACCAAATCCATTCTGTGCCATTTATTAGAC